TCGACGACAGTCACTCGTCGTGGGACATCTCCTTGAATTTACTCATAAAGATGTATAATGAAAATTAGGATTAAAAACCCAAAGTAGTGAAAGAACAACCCCTGAAACTTAATCTTCGGGAAAATAGAGGAACGAGCGTTTTCCACCGTAAGATCACTTCTTGATTTGCGATCGAATTTTGCAAAATTTGCCGCCTTGGAAAATTTTTTTATATGCACATATCGAAGGTGAAACTACCAAACCACGTATCTCGGTTTGCGACGTCGCAGACTTACTGTCATACTTTATTTTTTAAATGAAAAACTACTTAACATCCAGTCTTGAAAATTTCTGTGATTTTTCCTCTTTGTGCGGAGAAAATTCCGTGAAAATTTCAAGGAATGATATTGATTTGGTCTACTTCAAAGAAATAAAATGTGAGCGTAGATTTTTAAACACCGCAAACGAGATACGTGGTTTGGTAGTTTCACCGTCGATATGTCACCATTCTTCAAAATAGATCCTTATTTACGTAATGAGGAATTTAGTCAAGGAGCCTTTCCAAGAAAGTGTTTTTTTCCCTCATCTTTTAACGGTACACACTGGAGAGTGTAAATCCGTCAAAAAGTCAATTTTAAAGAAAAGTGGACTTACACCTTGTACCCTTTTTCAAAATGATCATCAATGAAGCTGTTGCATGTGTCAGGAGTTTGCGCTTTAAATACTAACTCCAGTGTACAGTTTTGCGAAAAACACGATGGCGTCCCTGGTTTTCTTCGAAATAAACTCCAGAGCTCAAAAAATCTTTCAAAGGCAAGGCCGTAATGGAGGGGATATCCGATATCCCACCTCTATATCAAGACAAACTCTCTTTGTAAAGATAGGAGGCAAATATATTAGCATCAGGGTTATCGTGTTTTTAGTTTTGGAGTAAAAGAAAGTGGCAACCCTGTTGATGTATTTGCTCTCTTTCTTTGCATAGAGAGTATGTCTCGATATAGAGCTGGGTTTCCCCTCCATTACTGCCTCAAATTTTAGAGCTTTTTTTGAGCTGTGTAGTTGATTTCAAATAAAACCAGTGGCACCATAATGTTTCTAGCAAAATTTTACATAGGAATCAGTGCTTAAACCGCAAATTCCTGACATACGTAAGAGCTTCATGGGAGATACGCAGTTTCCGACTTTTAACATATCCAGAGAAGATGTGAAGATGATGAAAAAAAGAAAAAAAAGAAAAAAAAGAAAAAAAAGAAAAAAAAGAAAAAAAAGAAAAAAAAGAAGAAAAAGAAAAAAAAAGAAAAAAAAGAAAAAAAAAGAAAAAAAAGAAAAAAAAGAAAAAAAAGAAAAAAAAGAAAAAAAAGAAAAAAAAGAAAAAAAAGAAAAAAAAGAAAAAAAAGAAAAAAAAGAAAAAAAGAAAAAAAGAAAAAAAAGAAAAAAAAGAAAAAAAAGAAAAAAAAGAAAAAAAAGAAAAAAAAAGAAAAAAAGAAAAAAAAGAAAAAAAGAAAAAAAGAAAAAAAAGAAAAAAAAAATGTATGAATGTAAAAATATTTGCACAGCTGTATGATCATAACTCAAATTACGGATGCTAACGGATGCTTTTTTCATCACTAAACTACTTCTGAATGAGAACCGCGGGCCCTTAAATAAGGAGGGCGCACCATTGAGGAGACCCTCATCCGTCTAGTTGAATTCAGGACATTTAATCTAAGGAGCAAAACAAAATGTGCATATCACGATGTTTGCAAACGGCCAAACGTCTTAATCGCTGACAGAAAAACCTTGCAAGCCCCCATTCTTGCGGACACATTGTTACCGTTTTCCTCGAGCGCATAAATAATAAAATAACTTGACGGACACATTAATGGCTGGGAATTGACGTTAACAGATCGTTAAAATCTCTTGCCGTTTTTTGCATTAGCTCAATACATCATGATTTAAATGAGGTGTCTGTGGACTGGATTTACCTCCTGCGAGAGGTTGAGCGCCAACACTGTCGTGCCAAGGAAAAACGATGTATGGACCTTCAGGCGTTGCCAAATTTCCCTCGATAAAACACGAATTTTCTGATGAATGTATGAATATTTGTCTTTCAATTTTTTAGATAATTTTGTTCGCAATTTCACCTTAAGTTTCTGAAAATTTGAAAGAAAAATATTTATGACTTGCCTCAAAACATAGACATCATATCGAAGGAAATTTGGCAACTCTTGAATGTTCTTACGGCATTCTTCCTTAGCACGGAAGGACAAGACTTATAAAATGCATTTCCCGTTTCCACTTTTTTTTGCCCTCGTGAAAGCATGTGACGGTATGTTTAATGAAATTCAGAATTTACTTGCGCGCCAGTGTCTGGAATTTGCGAGCCAAGCTACCATTAGTATTTTGCGCATAGTAATTCAAAATATACGACTGGCCCAGTTCAAAATTCATCCTATATCTCCATTATTAAGCTCGCTGGAAAAAAGAGCGGCATGTATCATGTTATCATTAAATATCTGTTCTGTTAGAATTGAATAATAGAATGTGAATATAGAATATAGAATAAAACTCAAATATTATCGTAAAGGCTGCAACAGCCTCATGAGTATGAAATATCAAAATAATCAAATAGACCTTTACAGCATTGTATAAAAATTATACCGAAAAATATATTTAAGCAATTTTAAAATCAAATTTTGATAATACAGACAAGATTTCTCCCTCCTTGGAGAAGACGCAGAGGGCGCCCAATGAAAGGTTGGAGGGAAGGGATTGAAGCGGAAATGTTAAGGTGCTCAATCCCCCATGATTTGTGGTTCGAAAGAGAGCAGTGGAGGTTAGGAGTCGTAGAGCGCGAGGGAGTGCTGTAAAGCGACTTATATGTATGTATGTATGATAATACAGACAACGTGTCTAAACTTAAACTTTATTTTTTTTTAAATTCACGTGGCTTTGAAAAAAGTGTTAGTTTGTGAAGGTTAATGACTAAAAGTCAAGAATAGTTTTTTATCGATTAAAATTAATCGAGATTTTTTAACGGAAATAAATATTTGCTGAAATTACGATATTTCTCCAAGGCACCAAAAGAACGAAGTATCCCAGATGTGTCAAATTCCGGCGCGATGGCGATGGTGCGACCAATCTTACAATACGACAACTTTCCTTTTTTTACGGCTTGTCTCTTGGCATTATGATGCCCTGAAAGTAATTTTTGAAGAATTACGCACTACGAGGGATACCCGACTTGCTGAGTAAATGGTTTGCTTAAACACGATGGCTCGTGTCCGTTCAAGAAACACTAAAACGTTCGTGTGGCTCCGCCGTCATTCTATTTCGGGTCAAAAACGCCTTCAATTGAGGTGAGCGGCAACTTATCATACATAGCCAAAGAAAGCGCTCTTCACTGCACTGACAATTTGCAGAATCTCACAGCAGCGGGTGAGTTGAAAAGCCAAACTGGCCCTGCGATTTAAAGAAGTCTGCTGGAATAGTTTTCAGTGTATTTGATTTCTGATATACTTATTCTGTTTGAATGCGTCCAAATGAATTTCTCATATCCATAGCGAAAGTCACGTATCTCTATAGCGGTGTTTCAAAATTTCCGCTTATATTTTATTTTTAAAGGAAGAAAAGTTAACTACATAACTTATAAATTTATACGGTATATTCCACTGACAGAGAAGAAAAATCATGGAAGTTTTCAAGATATTACGTTGTCTAGATTTCAAAAGAAAAAACTAATTATAGCAGAAAATACGCAACGTCGCAAATAAAGGTACGTGGTTTCGCACTTTGGCCATCGATAGAGAAAGTCTTCACGGTGAGTCGATCATTGAAATTGATAGACAAGGCTATAGACAAAGGAGATAAAGGCAAAATCGAGCGATCCTGTTTGGTGAAATAGGTTGTTCTCACGGACCAATGAGGGAGGAATAAACGGACTAACTTCATGGTCTCCAGTGGGTCGCCGCTAGTGAGTCCGTTGCAACCACCTACTTCTATCAATGAATCCTTTCAATGTTCTCTTTGTCTTCGTTGTCTATTGCTTTGTCTCTCAATGGGCCAGTTGCGCTGATCTCAGAATTGTGTTTTGACGCTTGATTCTTGTAATTCAGCTAAAAATAATCAGAGTATTAACCGAGATATCGCACTTCGAAAAATTCTGTTTATGACGGCATCCACCGCGACCCGGTAGTGGCACCCTTTGATTCTTCCATTTTGCTCTCATCCAAATTTCACGTCGAGTAATCAGGGCAAACGTGTGTCTCCCTGAATGAGGAAACTAAGGCAGAAGAAACCGAGGGTGTCACTATCGCGATGGATCACGTCATAAACCGAATTTTTCAAAGTTCGATATCTCGGTCAATTTTGAACGTAGAAAGTTGCTGGTTTGATAGATCTTATTATTTTCAGCTGATTTGTAATAATCAGGCATTTAAACACGAGTCTGAGACCAGCGCAACTGGCCCTTTCCAATGATCAGCCCAATGGTATACCTTCCTATGCCACACAGAAAAAAACCTCGTGCGTGGGGCCCTAAGTTTAGGTCATATGGATCTCTGAAGTTTTCGGATTGAGCATCTGAACACTTTAGGTCTAGCTGCCGAGGTTCGGATCACACATTTGAAACTTCAGTTCTTACATCTGAGGTACTTCAGATGTGAGAACCGAAGTTTTTCGGATGTGAGAACCGAAGTTTTTCGGATGTGAGAACCGAAGTTTTTCGGATGTGAGAACCGAAGATTTTCGAATGTGAGAACCGAAGTTTTTCGGATGTGAAAACCGAAGTACGTCAGATGTAAGAACTAAAGTTTCAGATGTGTGATCCAAACCTCAGCAGCTGGACCTAAAGTGTTCAGATGCTCAATCCGGAAACCTGAGAGATCCATACGACCTAAACTTCGGGTCCCACGCACGAAGTTTCTTTCTCCGTGATGGGAGATCTCTCCATGGAGGGATGTGCCGATCCCTCCATGTAAAGGTGCTCCAGGTCTTTCTTTGCAGAGGATTGGATGTTAACTGGTGTGTTTTTGTTTTGGCAGAGACGGCCAAGTGTCGGAACATCCAGTGCCCGGAGCAGTACAAGTGTCTGGTGGACATGTACACGGGGAGCCCGCGGTGCGTGCGCTGCTCGCTCTGGAAGATGAAGTTGAGGGAGAGCCTCAACGGGGGTGGAAGCGGCGGGGGCGGGGGCGGGGGCGGCGGTGGGAGCGCGGTGATCAGCAACAGCCTCGTGCCGAGCGTCAACCGGGGTGGCTTCTTCTGCGGCACCAACAACATCACCTACTCCTCCCAGCTCCAGATGGTCAAGGACGCCTGCGCCACCGGTTACGTCATCGAAATCAAGCACCTCGGACGTTGTCGGTATGAAGGTACATTCTGTACTCACGCAACCCCTCCTTCTCACATACCCTCAGATCCAGCAGGGACCAGTTCTATAGGACCCTGGACTCCCGTAAGAGCCAATGTAAAAATTCGTGAGCAGGTACTAGTGCTGCTATCTCGCGTAGGACCCTCGCAACTCACTGCTGTTGTCAGTTGTTGGACTTCATTAAAATCCGTAGGATCGCGTATAACTGCAAAAAATCGAATTTCCACTCTACGTATGTGTGCGTCGAGCCCTTCCTGGTCAAAAGGGGTCAAAAAACGCCAAAAATATACTTATTTTTCAAGAATTCAGCCGCCTTATGTGTTATTTTTCAATCTTCGGCTTAACCTCACTTTTGGAGCGGGCAATGGATAAGTCGAGGTTCGGGGGGAAGGATCCTCTGAGTTGACTAGGGTCCTACGCGAAAATGCGCTGCAATCACCCGCTCACAACAGAACGGCGTCCTATAGAACTCGTCCCTGGATCCAGCCAAAGAGACAAATAATTGGACGTATTTCTATCAAACAGACCTATATGCAGGTGAGAAATATGGGGAATATGGGGTGTGCTCGCTAGTTCTCTGGCCGCAAGAGTGAATGAGAATAACAAAGCGCGAGTGACGTCAGCGGCAATGATCGAGTTGGGGCACGACGGGGAGATGGTCGTCGGGGCGCTTTAACTCATGAGCCCTGTCCGCAACTCTCTCGTCCCATCCTCGCGGCTCATGAATCCAGCATTCAGTTGGCGCATAGGTCTGTTTGGTAGAGTGTAAAATCCCGCTTTGCCAATTCTTCAAAAGGAATCACGTCCACTTTTACATTGTTTCTTTTGCAGCTTCGACGAGCACACCCCATATTTCTCGCCTCCACATAGGTCTGTTTGATAGAAGTACGCCCAATTGGACCGCATTCAGCAAAAAGGAACCAGCGCAATTACAGTGTTGAAAAATAGCAAATTTGTTTTACATCCCACCAAAAAATTGTTAATTTTAAAGGAAAATAATTGTCGAAATGTTAATACGGAACTTATATTGGGTATTTTTGTAAGAGAAGGAGAAACTACACAGTTTTGAAAACACTGTAATTGCGTGGGTTCCTTTTTGCTAAATTTGATCCAATTAAGGTACACCTAAAGTACCTACAAGCGTAGAGTAAGGACATGTCGGTAATTTTGGAAATTAGGTCATAGAGCTCTTGGGGCCCAAAAAAGAAGCCATTCAATGAACTCAAATTTTCCACAATGGAGCTCTCAGGAGGCTCTAGTCAGAAATTTGTGATTTAAATACTGATTGCTATGTAAAATTTTGCGAGAAACACGATGGTGCCACTGGTTTTCTCTGAGATCCATTCCAAAGCTCAGCAAATCTCTCAAAGTTAAGGCCGTAATGGAGGGGATATCCCATCTCTAAATTAAGACAAAGTCAAAGATCAACTTTGGGGAAAGGTTGTAAAAAAGCCTTTTTGCAGCCTTTCCCCAAATTAAATTGTTATTTTAGACGAACAAGTTTGCAGTGTTTTCAGTTTTGAAGACCCCCTAAAAATGGCAACCCTGTTAATGTATTGCTCCCTATCTGTGCATAGAGAGTTTTACTTGATATAGAGGTTGACTCTCAGGGCAACGTAAGATATCCTATGGCCTCAACTTTGAGAGCAATTTTTGAGTTTTGGAGTTGATTTGAAAGAAAACCAGTGGCATTATCGTGTTTTTCGCAAAATTCTACTCGAGAATCTGTATTTAAATCGCAAATTGCTGACACACGCAAGAGATCCATTGGACCTCAAGTTGCTAGATGTATGATCCGAAAGGCGTGAGAGGTCTATATGACCCGAACCTCGGATCTGCTGCACGACGTTTTACTCTCCGTTTACTTTCATTATTTGTCTGTTTCTCTTGCTAAATTCGAAGGCAATTAGCGATCGACGGCAATTTGCAAGCCTTTACTAATGAGCCGAAAAAAATAAAAATATTTAGAAATAAGGAAGCAAGCAAAGTAGACTGATTATACTGCCGTGAATTTCGCCACAGTCTTTTACACAAGGTAGCAGTCATATGATGCCGTGCTAAGGAAGAGCGCCGTATGGTCCTTTGTTAGTCGCCACATTTCCTTTGATCGAATACGAATTTTCAGGAAAACTTGTGAATATTTTCCCTTAAATTTTCCAGAGAATTTGTTTCGTAATTAGATCTTCATCATCTGAAAATTTCAAGAGAAAATATCTCTAACTCTCTTCAAAAATAAACATTTTATCGGAGTAGATTTGGCGACTCTCGGATGTTCATACGACATTTTTCCTCAGAACGGTAGTATGTACACTTGTGTTTACGTAGAGGAACTAGTGACCGTTTTTGATGTAGGGCTGTATAGGCATCTAAACTAACTTCGCGACAAAGCGTAGGGTATCACGGGGAAATGAAGGCGTCTCGAGCCGGGATTGTAGTTGTAAATTCATTTGACGATAAAACCTTCATAATGTCGGTTCGTATGATTGAGGTTTTTGAGACAAAACTCTGATCACCCTCGAAATGTCAGCAATCGCCAATTGGACTGAATTTTGTAATTCGGAGCTACATTTTCTAGATCATCAGAAAAAAACATTTATGAGCATAGGGAAACTAATGGTACATACGTTATTTTTAAACTGGGCCAGAATGTATAGCTCCTAATTGCAAAATTAAGTCCAATTGGACTGCATTTTGTGGTTCGGAACTACGATTTGGCTCTTCCGTGGAAACACTAATTTGCATTCGGGAACTGATGGTGCATACGTTGTTTCAAAACCGAGGCAGAAATTGTAGTTCCAAATTGCAAAATGTAGTCCAATTCTCTGTTGCACATATACATTCAACGGAGAGTCCCAAAGCTGCAAGCTTGCCAGGATCACTACTGCTGGGAACTTCCGGTCCCGAAAACGAGAACAAGTGAGATTCTACTGTATTATGAAAAAGAAGGGAAAATAATTGAAGCTGTGCCAAATTTTGCAGTCTATAGGAAATCTTGTATATTATAAAAAAGAACCGAATAAAAGTGAAGTATAAATGGAATTTGGATTGCATTTTGCGAAAAGGAGCCAGAAGAATTGCAATGTTGCTAAGATTTTGCAACTTAATCTTTTGCAATAAAATCACTGAAATCATGAAAAAATACGAAATTTGCATGGTGATTCATGTCCTAAATTTACAGTTTCTTGGCAAATAAAATAGAAACTGTAAATGGATAATCAGATTTTTCTTCCAAGAAAAAATAGTTGTACAATCTCAGCCAGATTTCAATGTTCCTGGTTCCTTTTTGCAAAATGCAGTCCGATTGTGCTGTTTTTTGTTTTAAATTTAATTTTATTTAAATTTAAATGTATCAAATTTGTTACAGGTCCGGGTTTTCGTCTCCTATCAAATTCCGTGCTAGATGAAGACGGGTCCCTGAGTGGATTCTTTTGAGCGTTGGGAACTCTAATCTATTGCATTTCGGACCAAAGTATTAATTTTACCCCCCGTACTGCTGGGCGAACGCCTGAAAAGTTAGGTGATGTACTTAGGAAGAGAATCTATTCCATAAACATGCAGTATTAATTTTATTTATTTGAATAATTAATTTATTTATTAATATAGGACTTTGTTTGTTTTTGTTCGTAAGTCAGTAGGTATTTAGTTTATTTGTACGAAAGTCATGGTTCCTAAGAAAGCTAATTATAGTTAGGTAATTGTCAAGTATTTTTAGTAGTGCGATGTCATAAGTGCTGAAGATTAGTATATTCCTCTCTTCTCTTTCTTGATGTAAGGTCTGAATTAGAGTCACTTTGACTCAAAATTAAAAATGAATCGAATTTTTTAAGAAAGAACTGATTTACAACATACTGATGTATTAGAAGTTATACAAGAAAAATAAAATAAAACACGAAAAATGTGGCTCAAACTGTAAGTTTTTAAAGGAAGGATTTCTCCGGTATCTCAAAATATCTCTCGAAATTTGTCTTCCTCAATCCTAATTCGGATTTTTCCACTCGTTTACTCAGAATTTTTTTCTTTAGGCGCCGATGATTCTTTTTTTAACACATTTTTTAGGAAGTGAAATTATGGCATCAGAGGAATCAAACCCATTTTTTTGCTCGCCTCCCTCATGAAACAAAATTTAAGGTCGGTTTGTTAAAGGTATTTTTAGACACTGTCCATTTGTGATTTTCATTATTTTTTTTCTGACAAGTGAGACCCGATGTAGGAAATCAAAGGTCTCGATTCTCTGACAAGTTCTGTGTAGGTTCCCTGTGGGATGAGCATCAAACGTCGAACACCATAAATAAGGCACAAAATCTGCCTGCAAATACGCATGATGCAACATTTCATATAGGGCTCCTAACAGTATTAAGGTCTTGCAACCTACGTATTGCATTTCGCTTCGAACACTTTATTGTCTGAAGGATGATTTGGATTTCGCCAAAGATTGCATATCCATTTTTATCGGTATGTGGAATGTAGCCAAGTGCTAGAAATAATGTAACATATTTTGGAAAGCCTACATTTTATCAATAAAATGTAAGCTTTCCAAAAAATTTTACATTATTTCTAGCACTCGGCTACATTCCACATAGGTACCGATATATGGACTGAGTTAAGCAGAAAGGAACCAACCCACATTTTGGAAAAAATTGAGTTATGAGTGGTTTCAAACTCAACCACTGCTCTACTATCTATCGCCAAAAATTCAAAGTTTTTCCTGGAGCAACTTTTGCAGAAATTGAACTTGAAGTTTATCTTTTACATTGAGTCTTATGCAGGAGCCTAACTTTAAACCTCTTTTTCTCGGTTCGATCCCGACGTGGCTTGGTTCCTTTCTGTTAAACTCTGTCCATATTTCAGTGCTACTAACTTTTGGACATTGTGTTAATATTCTTAAAATGGAGAAGTAAAATCACAAAGATTTTCAAGAGGTTCATTTGATAAATCCTCCGATGAAAAAATAATGGAAGACAGGCAACACTGTAGAGAATCGCGGGAAAAAGCGAAATGCGCGGTTTTCCAGTTCAGACCTTGATTTTGTTTTTCATGGACCAGGACTCGGTTCCAAGCCTTAAATTAAACACTGAATATATCAGAGAAAATTTCAAGTTCTCTTCAAAGTTTTGTCAGTATTGAGGAGTGAAAAAAATGTCAAGGGACCATAATATTACAAGCCAATACAAGCCATACATAACATAATCTTTTTTCGAACTATGCAGTACTTTTATTGTGAACGCACTATACTTTATCTGGAATGATTTGTACTATACGAGTAAATGTTTTAAAATTAGATAATTTTGTTGATTCATGTTTGTAAATATTTCAATGTTTTCATGTATCATAATAATGGACTGATTAACCAAAGAGATATCTGCACCTGTATATTCAGCAAATCAGTAACAATAAAAGTAATTAGAAGCGCCAAAAAATGTTTTTCATTTATCTAGCACTTTCTTGTCAGGCACCATGTCAACTTGCTCTCAATTTTCTCTGTTCCTTACCTTTGCTCCCTTTCTCGTTACTTCTTTTATCGACTACATAAGCACCTTTTAAGTATCGAGATGTGATGATAGTGTAGAATAGCCAAATGTAAAATTAAACGAAGGAAAAGCCTCTGTTAGGGCAACTCTGATGAGGTTTTTGGACATCTTTCCCATACACAGATGGTCATTTTTGTGTACTTACCCAATAACATCCCACCTTACGGTTATATTTCAGCAATAATGTGCCAGAAAGTTGTCTGGGAGCTTTGCCACATTAGGGTGGCCGTTAAAAAAGGCTTTTTCAACTTTTTAATGGAGAACCCTGCAAAAGTTTCCTTTTAGTGTGTAAAGGAAGACCAAAAAAGAAAATCGAAGTTTTTTTTTAACCGTGCCTCACGGCCGTTGTATGTGACACGCCTGCAAGTTCGATTTCCGCAAATTGCGCTTTTTGGCGTATCGAAGCGTCGCCGAAAGCATTATGGAATTCATGCAGACATCTGACATTATGGTTTTTAACTCAACTTTTTGCGTACTTTCACGTAGCAGAAGTTTTGTGGAATTTTTGTAAATGCGATTTGTTTGCTCTCTAAGTAGGGCGAAAAGACGATATGCGAAAGTTGAAACTCGCATTTTGTTGTTTATCACGTTTTGGCGCATTAATTGGTTACGGACGATGATTTTAATACAGAGATCTGATATTACGGTAAGTAACTCAACTTTTTCTCGTGTGGTGTATAAAAATCTCCGATCTCTTGTTATTTTTTTAAAGGATAAGAAATCAATTTCATTCCTTCAAGTTTTCACAGAATTTTCCTAGCACGAAGATTTGAAAGAATTTATAATTAGCAGCTTTCCATTCAAAAAATAAAACCTAATTGAGAATTCAGCAATGTCGGAAACTGAGATATGTGGCTTAGAAGTTTCACCTCATATTGTTGTAGACTTTTTTTTATCTTGAGATTTCTTTAGTTAAGATAGATTTAGTTTTACCAAGTAAACTAAAATCGGTTACTTTACTCACTTCAAGTTACACGGAGGTTTATATTTCTCTGCGAGGAGACCAAAAATAATACAATTTGCAGAAAATTTGAATTCTAGCCTTACACATATCTTCTTCTTTCTCCTGTATCTTTAGTCAGATCTGGGTAAAATGAATTTTTAGGTTGGATGAACTTTTCTCGCACAAGGTAAAACTGATTTGAAAATTAAGCACCTACATGAGCCGATGTTAAATTTTATTTTAATTCCAAAGATGATATTCGCCATTTTGCCGTTCCGCATATGGTCATCACTTAGAAACGAAATCGCTTTGTTTTAAGGGAGGGAAGAAGGAAATTTCGCATCAGCCAAAGGCTTTTATGGCTCTTATCCTCAACAAGGCAAGCTAGTGTAGGCGCCTGGTAGCTAAAAATGAGGCTACCTGGAATTTCGGGTACACAGCGATTTTTTTGGCTTACTTAATGTTTTTTGGGTCGCTGAATCCGAATCTGAAGTTTCCTACCGCGTATCTGGTGAAAATTTTCCGCCATTTTGAAAAAATGGCCTAAAAAGGCCTTTTTTGCGGTTTTTTAATATAGCGGCTACGCATGAGAGAAAGTCCCAGATTTAGTTAATGTTTTGAATAGCTGACATAATTTGGAAGAAAATGGTGAAAACATATGCTACATTTGCTTAAAAATTGAGGAAGATACATTCATGCGCTCTTGCCACTTATCCAACATTGTTTTCCTGAATTCTTCCTCTGGGATGACGTTGAAAAAGTTCTGAACTGCATTCTGGATTTCGGTCTTCGATTCGAATCTTCGTCCGCGAAGCTCCATTTTTAAGCGTAGGAAACATCCAAAAATCACATGAAGCCAAGTCAGGGCTATAAGGGGGATGAGAAATTGTTTCAATTACATTTTTACTCATACATTCACGCGTTAAGTTTGATGTGTGAGGCCGCGCATTGTCTTGATGTAGTATCCACGAAGCTTTCAAGTCCGGCCGTTTCTGGGAGATGTGCACTCTCAACTCCTTTAGCACTTTGCAATAATACGTACTGTCACCTGTTGTGATTGGCGGTACAAGGCGGTACAAAATGTTGATAAATGACACCTCGAAATCAAAAAACACAATGAGCATCGCTTTACAGGCCGATTTTTCGATTCACGGCGATGAAGAATCTTCCTTAAAAACCGTAGGGGTAAACTTTCCTCACTGATTTCAAATTGCCATAACTCGGTCAGTTTTTATTTAATTGAGCTGATCTTGGTCTTAATTGATAGGTATTGAGTTGATCTTTGAAATGAAATCAAGATCATGTCTGTATCTATCTTAGTTTTGAAGTTAGAGAACCAGTCACGGTAATTTTCGGACACCCTATGTAAATCGACTTTTCCATAGGTCGGTTATTTGAAACACCCTGTATCCGCGCTTTCCGCCTCCGAAGGGGACGACTGCTGCCAACCGTGACAATTGATAATTCACCAAGTTGATACTGGGCTCCTTAGCAACAAGGATCCGCGGAAGATTGGGATCACTTTTAGGAACACGCTGTATCTACACACTCTCCCTTTTTCGGGATGTCTGCTACCAACCATGAAAATTGAGACTTCATCGAGTTCATAGTGGGCTCCTGGGCAACAAGGCTCCTTGGAAAATCGAGATCACCTTTAGGAACACTCTGTATCTACACACTCTCCTTTATTCCAAATGACTGCTGCCAACCGCGCAAATCGAGAAGTCACTGTAACTCAAGCGTGCCTCTCTTGGCAGAAAGCATCCAAGAATCTTCTAGATCAGATTTTGGAACACGCTGTTTCATCGCTTCCTTTCTCGATCAGTGCTGACCGATGCCAACCGTGCAAATTGGGAATTCCCCGATCATAAACTGCCGCCCCCATTCGAACAAAGCATCGATGAGCCGTGCAGGTCGGTTATTTGGAACACCCTGTATCCGCGCTTTCCGCCTCCGACGGGGACGACTGCTGCCAACCGTGAAAGTTGAAAATTCACCAATTTGATACTGGGCTCCTTAACAACAAGGAACCGCGGAAGATTAAGATCACTTTTAGGAACACCCTGTATATACACACTCTCCTTATTTCGAGATGACTGCTGCCAACCATGAAAATTGAGACTTCACAATGTTCATAGTGGGCTTTTGGGCAAAAAGGCTCCCTAGAAAATCGAGATCACCTTTAGGAACACTCTGTATCTAAACACTCTCCTTTCTTCCGAATGACTGCTGCCAACCGCGCAAATCGAGAAGTCACTGTAACTAAAGCGTGCCTCTCTTGGCAGCAAGCATCCAAGAATCTTCTAGATCAGTTTTCGGAACACGCCGTATCATCGCTTCCTTTCTCGATCAGTGCTGACCGATGCCAACCGCGCAAATTGGGAATTCCCCGATCACAAACTGCCGCCCCCTTTCGAACAAAGCATCGATGAACCGTGAAGATCGGTAATTTGGAACACCCTGTATCCGCGGTTACCGGCTCCGACGGGGACGACTGCTGCCAACCGTGAAAATTGAAAATTCACCAAGTTGTTAATGGGCTCCTTAGCAACAAGGATCCGCGGAAGATTGGGTTCACTTTTAGCAACACGCTGTATCTACTCACTCTCCTTTTTTCGGGTAACTGCTGCCAACCATGAAAATTGAGACTTCACCGAGTTTATAGTGGGCTCCTGGGCAACTAGGCTCCCTAGAAAATCGAAATCACCTTTAGGAACACTCTGTATCTACACACTCTCCTCTCATCCGAATGACTGCTGCCAACCGCGCAAATCGAGAAGTTACTGTAGTAAAGCGTGCCTCTCTTGGCAGCA